GGGAAAATTGCTAACTCGTCATCCAGAAGCTCTAAAAGGCTGGAATTTTAGGATAGTGTTCCCTGTCCAAGTGCAGCTTGAATATTTCAAACTCAGCCTCCAGGTATGCATGGTTCTCATGCAGGGCGCTTAAAAGTTTTGACAGGAAAATTGTTCACTGAACAGGTAGGTTGTTTTCAATGGACAGCCGTTAAATGGGAACTGTTTATTTTCTTTACGCAAAATTTATGATGGCTTACACTCGTGAGCGCAAAAAGTAGGTGTAAAGCAATAAAATCTTAGCAACCAACAATAACCAATGTAAAACAAAAGACCTTAGTACTTCAACCCCGGTGTAGCAACGCATGATCGCACCGTCAAGCCTGGCGCATTCCAGCCTGAATTTAAACTCATATTTCTAGGTCACTAGACAGGAACTGTCCAGGATTAAAGAGCGCTTCCAAGCTTTTTTGAAAGGTGAAACCCAAATTGCGGCCGACGAAGCGTTCACAAAAGCGATTGAATCGTACTACGAGGTTTGATTTTAATAATGGTAATTTAGCGATACGGCAGGCAGTTTTTTAAGGTAGTGTGCTGTAAGTTCCGATTCTTTTTGAATTAGCATCTTTTCAAAAATTTCTGTTTTTACATTTTATGATCATCAGTAACTTTTCATAATATCAAAATTACCAAGAATGCCCGAGCAGTCGGCCCTGAAATCATATGTTAGTGATCTCACTAGGATGCTCTTACACATCGGGCTAGACCGTGCCAGGGCGTTCGATATTAAGCTGCATACCTCCAGCTAATAACTCCCGAAATTTTTCGCAATTCAGTCTGAAGTTAATAAAAGAAAAGTGTGCTTCAGTACTGCTCAAATTTCTGAGAGAGTTTGTCTGCATTGAAATTTAAGCTAAGCCACTTCTAAAAAAATTTTACGATTAATGCGCCATTTCGTCCAGAATCGCTTGTTCTTAAAAAGGAAGGCATCGAAAGGCACACTGTGAATTCGCATCTAATTTGCTATAACGCTCTGCTTCTGCGCTTGTAGCAAAGTGCTTGTAGAATCTTCAGTGTAGTTATTGTCACTAGCGTCTTTCCTTGATGTCAGCCCTGTTCCGTTTTCGTCGGACTTTTACACATACACGACGAGCTCTTTTAATTAAGGCTTACGCAGTGCTGCTGGCTAGAAACCGCACTGGTAAGCAAAAGAAAGTAGAAATTTTTTAGTTTGAGGAGATAGACACATAAGACGCCGTATGTGCTGAGTGTAGCGTGGTGACAGCAGGCGCTTCTACAATTTAAAAACTGGGGGTATTATTAGAAAAATTAATTTTTCTACAGTTCGTCCATTTTTATGCGTTTTTGCGCATATGCAAATTGCAAAAGCGCATATTGGGAAGAGGCTGTGTGTGTGTGTGTGTGTGTGTGTCTGCGTGTCTGTGTGTTCGCACTTTTTGTTACCCACTTTCAACTCGAGAGCCAGAAAGGCTAAAAGGCTGAAACTTTGGGAGTATGTGCCCATACGATGCACGACTCTC